TTTAAAGCCCATACTAGATTCTAAAAAACTTTAAGGGAGGCATATTGACAATATTAAAAAGAGATAGCAGAGAAAAGATGAGATGGAAAAATTGGAAGTCAGACACAATTTTTTTAAAACCCCAATGGTCTGAGCATCTCTTGTAATCCGTAATAGTATCACTGTAGATTAATTGATAGTCAAAAAGTAAACATTTTGTAGATGTTTACTTCGGCATATTTAGTTTAGGAAAGCAGGAAAAGTGCTTTCTATTTTAAAGAGCATTTCATGTTATAAAATGGTTCAAGTACCAGTTTGATGAAAACATTTCAAATTGTATATAAATCCAGCACAGTATACCCCGTGATTGCATTAACATACATAGCTATGATTTAATTAAAAAAAATGGTTCAAGTTAAAAGACTTGTTTAATTGTCAGATACTCATTTTACTGTGCCTCTTTTTCAACATTTCTGGTTGTCCTGTACTAATTATTTTTAGTGGCATTAATATGAAAGACAAGCCAGCTTGGGATGGATAAAGATGAGGAATTTAGTTTTGAGTATGTTGTTTAAATATCTCTAAAATATTCAATGGGAAATATAAAGTATAATTGTTAAAGAAACTAACTACATGAATTGATTAATTCAGTTATTTAATCTACATATTTCAAAAATCAATTCAGCTGATCCAAGAAAGTCTCTCAGATGTGGGGAAACACTAGGTATACATGTTTCTTCCTATCCAGCTAAACAGAGGAATCACATTGAGCTCAGAGACCTCACTCCATATTTTTATTTTCAAAGATTAGGCCATATGTAGAATATATGTAGTATCTCATATTTCTATTCCAGTAGTATACCCAGGAAAAAATGTTGCTCAAGGCTATCTTGCTTTTTATGCCAGATAAAACTAGCACTTATAGAGCATGTTTAAATCATGCCCATTAAAGCCTTTTTGGTTCAACTCACATTTTTAGAGATACTGCCATATTTGAATTTTTTTAATTACCATTGTTTTATTATTATTATATTGTAACAAAAACTGTAGACACAGCATAAAGATCAGTGATTGCCAAGGGGGTGGGGTAATGAATAGGGGGAGCATAGGACATTTTAGGATAATGCCATTATTCTGTTCTATACTGTAATGGTGTATACATGACATCTGCATCTGTCAAAACCCATAGAACTATACGACACAAACAGTGAATCCTAATATAAACTATAAGCTTAAGAATAATAGGGTATTAAAATTGATTCCTCAATTGTAGCATAGAATAGCTTGGGCTGCTGTAACAAAATACCACAGACTATATGGCTTAAACAACAGAAATTTATCTTCTCACAATAATGGAGGCTGAAATTCCAGGATTAAGATGACAGCATGATAAAGTTCTGGTGAGGCCTCTTCTTGGCTTGCAGATAGCATGCCTTCTTGCTTTGTCCTCACATATTGGGGAAAGGAGGGAGATGGAGGGAGGGAGAAAGAAAAAAGATAGGAAGAGTGAAAGGGTCTGGTGTCTTTTCTTATCTCATAATAAGGGCCCCACTTTCATGACCTTGTTTAAACTAATTATCTCTGGGCCAGGCATGGTGGCTCACGCCTGTAATCCTAGCACTCTGGGAAGTTGAGGCAAGTGGATTGCCTGAACTCATGGGTTCAAGACCAGCTTGAGCAAGAGTAAGACCCCATCTCTAATAATAACCTAATAAACACATGTATATGTAAAAAAAAAAAAAAAATAGCCAGGCACTGTGGCAGGTGCTGTGGCAGGCACCTGTAGTCCCAGCTACTTGAGAGGTGGAGGCAAGAGTTTGAGCTTGCTGTAAGCTGTGACACCAGGGCACTCTTCAAAGGACAACAAAGTAAAATTCTCTCTCAAAAAATAAATAAAGAGATAAAAATTGGCCGAGCATGGTGGGTCATGCCTGTAACCCTAGCACTCTGGGAGGCCAAGGCAGGTGGATTGCTTGAGTTCACGAGTTCGAGACCAGCCTGAGCAAAAAGCAGCCCCTGCCTCTCTCTACTAAAAATAGAAAAACTAAGGCAAGAGGATCATTTTAGCCTAAGAGTTGGAAGTTGCTGTGAGCTATGACAGTACAGCATTCTACCCAGGGTGACAGCTTGAGACTCTATCTCAAAAAATAAGTAAATGAATAAATAAATAAGCAAACAAATAAATACAAATTAAAAAATAAACTATCTCCCAAGGGACACCTCTCCCCCATCTCCATGGGTTATGGCTTCAATATATTAATTTAGGGGAAAGGACACAGTTCAGTTCATAGCATGCTTTAATGGGAGGTATTAGTAATAGGAGAAACTGCAGAGGATGAGATCAGATTCATGGTAACTCTGAGAAATCCCTGGGCAATTTTTTTGTAGACCTACAATTACTTTTTTATAAAAATCTAAGCTGAACATGGCACTCATGCCTGTAATCCCAGCATTTTGGGTGGCAGAGGTAAGAGGATTGCTTGAAGCCAGGAGTTCAAGACCATTCTGGGCTCTTAAGATAAAATGAGACCTCCTCTCTACAAATAACAGAAACATTTCTAATTAGTATTAGTTACTTGGGAGACTGAGGCAGGATGGCTTGAGCCAAGGAGTTCATGGTTGCAGTAAGCTATGATTGGGCCACTGCACTATAGCCAGAGCAAGACCCTATCTCTAAAAAAAAAAGTTTAAAAACTTTTAAAATTGGGGTGCCCTGGCTTGGCGCCTGTGGCTCAAGTGGCTAAGGCGCCAGCCACATAAACCTAAGGTGGTAGGTTCAAATCCAGCCCGGGCTCACCAAACAACAATGATGGCTTCAACCAAAAAAAAATAGCCAGGTGTTGTGGCGGGCGCCTGTGGTCCTAGCAACTTGGGAGGCGGAGGCAGGAGACTCGCTTGAGCCCAGGAGTTGGAGGTTGCTGTGAGCTATGCCACGGCACTCTACCCAGGGGGACAGCTTGAGGCTCTGTCTCAAAAAAAATAAATAAATAAATAAAAATAAATAAAATAAAATTGGGGCGCCTGCCCTATATGCCGGAAGTGGAGGGTTCAGACCCCGCCCTGGCCAAAAACCGCAAAAAAAAAAAAAAAAAAACAAACTTTTAAAATCTATTAAATAATAAAAGCAAGATTAGCTGAAGATTACTAATTTAAATTACAGAGATATTTTTAAGTAGATGAAATTTGCTTTGATATTCACTGCCTAATAGAATGCTAAATATGACGAGAGCAAGCTATCTCAAATAAACATTCACCCTGGAGTGCCTCTCAGCCTTTTTTTCCCTTTCCTCCACCTTCTTTGAACCACTCTATACTTTTAATGTCTTCCTCTAGGCTTCTTCTTTTTGTCCTTTACTTTCTTTTCCTTTTTATTGTTGTTGTTGAGATTAGGTCTTGCCAGGCTGCTAGCCTCAAACTCCTGGGCCCAAGCAATTCTTCTACTTTGGCCTCCCAAGTAACTGGGACTATAGGCATACACGCCATTTTGGCCGGTTTGTCCTCCACTTTCCATCTTCTGCATTTTTTTTTCTTTTAACTGTAATGACCGTTACTCTAATGTAAGAACAAAAGGCATAGGATTTTGTTTTTAAAACCCAGAGCATTATTTGTTGTTTTTTAAAGCAAAATACTGTGCCTTTTTTTTGTTTTGTTTTGTTTTTGGAGACCGAGTTTCACTATGTCTCACTTGGTAGAGTGCTGTGGCCTCACGGCTCACAGCAACCTCAAACTCTTGAGCTTAAGAGATTCTATTGCTTCAGACTCCCAAGTACCTGGGACTATAGGTGCAGTTGTCATTGTTGTTTAGCTGGCCCAGGCTGGGTTCGAACCCACTAGCCTTTGTGTATGTGGCTGGCTCCGCAACTACTGTGCTATAGGCAACAAGCCATTAGTTAGAGATTTTAATATGCAACTGAGCCTAATTTGACCAAGGCAAATAAATTCATTTATAACAGGAATGCCCAAGTAATGGCCATGGAAGTTTCTAATTTCAGGGCAATACATAATGTTCAGTACAGTGTTCTTGATTTTGATTGACTTGACAACCAAAGAATAATTAAGGATATTATTCCTAAATAATATTCCTAGAATCATCAAGCTGGTTGTATTACCAAACACTGTATGATTACCTTAAGTAACACAATGAACAGCTATTTCATAAGGTAACTCATTCCATTAAGACAGGTGTGTTTGTAAGCCATAGTTTGTTGGGTTTTTTTATATGATGAGCTAAAAGACTGCTGTCCCTGAACATGCAATAATTGAATCTGATTATTTTCTCTAGCAATTCCAAACAAGTTCAGAGTTCTTATACCTTCACTATTCTACTCGCTCTCTTCTAGTTTGTTGACCTTCATTCTAAATGGTATGTGTTCCCTATATCTGACACACAGAATGGAACTAACACTGTAAATTGTTCACATGTTCATGATAGTCCTGCAATTTAGATATGTGTGTTCTTATTCTGCAAGTGAGTAAATTTAGGTGAAGAAATTTTCCCAAGATTCTATATTGAGTGGAAGAACTGAGCTTCAATCATTTCAGATTTAATTACCTCTGAAGTCATGCTTTTATCATTAATAATAATGTATCAATATTAATAAACATAACTACTATTTATTGTAAGGATAATATATTCATGTACTAAGTAACCACTTAGGCTCTGCCCTAAGTCTTACAGCTATACTGGGAGATAGAGAGTACTGTTTTTACAAAGGAGAAAACTAAGGCACAGAACAGTCAAATAGTTTACTACACCCACTGAGCAAGTAGTATAGAGCCAGGATTTAAAACCAGATGTGATTTTAAGACTGTGCTGTTAAATGTTATATGATCCTGTCTATGTTCTTCCTTGATACAGTTCACAATTATCACAAATTTATTATTTTTTCTTTCATATCCTTTGATGCAGAAACATTGTTGATTTGATTATATACTGATACAGCTTTTCTAAAGGGCACTCAGTATTTAACAAAATACTTGTTAAAAAAGATGACAGTGTTTTAAAATTTGTTTTCTTTTAGGTCCACCTCATTCATTTAACCGAGATGAGACAATAATCATTGCTTTGGCATCAGTCTCTGTATTAGCTGTTTTGATAGTTGCCTTATGTTTTGGATACAGAATGTTGACAGGTAAAAAATACTACTTTTTGTTCTAACATTTATTAAACATGCTATCTAATCAGAATTTATTTTTCCCCTTTTAAAATTTCCATGTTAAATGCTAAAGAAAGAAAATCTCTGCACTATAACAGCTCCCCTCCTTCTTTCTAACAAACTTTTTCCCACAGTTTTTATGAAAAATTTCAAACTTACATAAAATATCTATCATCCATTTTCAATAGTTATCACATAGTGGCAATAGTGTTTCATTTAAATTAGTAGTCACAACCCCTTTCCATGTGACTGTATTATTTTGATGCAAATCACAGATATTATGCATCCACAGATATTTCAGTATTGCCAGGCACTAATCCCAACACTGTGGGAGGCTGAGATGGGAGGATTGCTTGAGCTCCGGAGTTGGAGGCTTGTCTGAGCAAGAGTGAGACCCCGACTCATGAAAAAAATTGAAAAACCCATCTGGGCACTGCAGAGAGCACCTGTAATCCCAGTGGCTTTCAAGGCTAAGGTGGCAGGATGCCCACAGCTGGAGTCTGAGGTTGCAGTGAGCTAGGACGCCATTGCACTCTGCTCAGGGCATAGGGTAGAACTCTGTCTCGACAAAAAAAAAAAAAAAAAAGTATTATCTGTATAGTATAAGGACTTACAAAATACATCATAACACATTTTCATATCTGAAAAAATAACAGAAATTTCTCGGTATCATCAGATGTCTAAGTGGTTCTAATAAACTTTAGTTTCAATGGGCTGTTTTGGAAATCAGCACCCATGCATTAATTTGAATAACTATAATAAAGTCTGCTTTAAAGTTTTTGCAATATTTTGGGGGTTTTAAACTTTTAAACTAAGTCATAGTTGAAGCACCTTCCAGAATTCACTTTTCATGCTATTTATCATTCATCTTCACTTATACACATTTCCTAGTTTTTAGTAAGTAGTTTTATTCCCATTGATGTTAAGCGTAAGTCTTGCTGCCGCCCTTCTGCAACTCTTCTTTCTACCTATAATTTAATAAAAAGTGTGATAAACATCTCTATTTTAAGAAAATTGTACATTAGTAATTTCTTTTTCCTGTTCTTATAGGAGATCGTAAACAAGGTCTTCACAGTATGAACATGATGGAGGCAGCAGCATCAGAGCCCTCTCTTGACCTAGATAATCTCAAACTGTTGGAGGTAAGATTGCTCTTAGATTATGGACATTTCTTTCTACCCTCACAGTTTATCTGGGACAGTGACTTCATTCATCCAATTATTCAACCCATATTTAGTATCAATTTTGTGCCAAGGCCTATTCTGGACACTAGGAATGTAGGTAAACAATACAGATACCCCTGTGGGGGGGTTATGTTCTACTTCTAGTCTATGTTCTATAAATAACTAAATGAATATATAATTTCAAATACTTGTGAGTACTGTGAAGAAAAGTAACATGGATAAAGAGATAAGAAAATGATGAAGAGGGGCTTCTTAAAGAAAGTATATTTAGAAAGAGGATGACCTTTGAGTACAGATTTGAACAGAGTTATCAGAATAAAGGGCTCGGCGCCTGTGGCTCAAGTGGCTAAGGCGGCAGCCATGTACACCCAAGGTGGCGGGTTAGAATCCAGCCTGGGCCCACCAAACAATGAGCCAGGCGTTGTGGCAGGCGCCTCTAGTCCCAGCTACTCGGGAGGCGGAGACAGGAGACTCACTTGAGCCCAGGAGTTGGAAGTTGCTGTGAGCTGTGATGCCACGGCACTCTGCCCAGGGGGACAGCTTGAGGCTCCTGTCTCAAAAAAAAAAAAACACAGAATAAAGACTTGAAATTTTGAGAAGAGTTATGCCAGCAAGGAATACAGAGTAGGTGCCATATTAATTATTTATTAAATATTCCTTATCTGTGCACATATTATATATTTTTATACATACATATGACTATTACATGTCCCATAAAATTTGAGTTTCATGGCTCGGCGCCTGTAGCTCAACCTGCTAAGGCGCCAGCCACATACACCTAAGGTGGCGGGTTTGAATCCCCAGCCCGGACCCACCAAACAACAATGACGGCTGCAACCATATAATTTTTTTGTGTTGTGCGGGCGCCTGTGGTCCCAGCTACTTGGGAGGCGGAGGCAGGAGACTCGCTTGAGCCCAGGAGTTGGACGTTTCTGTGAGCTGTAATGCCACAATGCCACGGCACTCTACCCAGGGGGATAGCTTGAGGCTCTGTCTCAAAAAAAAAAAAAATTTGAGTTTCATTTGGTAATATGTTAGAAGCTGTGTTAAAAGTCTTAAATCATGGCTGGACACAGTGGCTCCATGCCTTGAGGTTAGGAGTTCAAGACCAACCTGAGCAAGAGCAAGACCCTGTCTGTACCCCCCAAAACAAAACAAAACAAAACAAAACAAAAAATATACAAACTAGCCAGGAGTGGTGGCACATGCCTATAGTCCCAGCTACTTGAGAAGCTAAATAAGGAGGATCGCTTGAGCCCAGGAGTTCAAGGCTGCAGTGAACTGTGATCACTGCACTATACTCCAGCTCGGGCAATATAGCAAGGACAGTCTGTCTGTATATTAAATTTTGACCTGGAAATAGTGAATGACATATTATGCACGTTCTTAAATAATCATAAATGCCTAACCTGTTTCATTATCACCAGAAACCAAAAATGAAGAGAATAGGTTACATTTTGCTGGTTCTTTGTGTGTTGAGTAATTTTTTATTGTTTCCCAGATGTTGTGAATGTTACATTGTGGAAGCCAGGGACGCTGTTATGCTCTTCTAAAGTGTGTGGATTTTTATTGTTTGTTTTAGTAAGCAATTAACTTAGTTGGACACATAGTACAAACTGTCTCTTAGGAAGAAACTCAAATCTCAGTCCAGTTATTTTATCTTTAACCAGAGTCTGTTCAATGTATTCATAGGGTTTCATCCTCTGACTTGGTCCTTTCCAGGAATCTCCCCTTACTTTTCAGCAGCTATGGTTGCCCCAAATTATGTCCTTGGGTTCTCAGGGCCAAAAAGATTACTTACTACAGAGTCCTAATTTCAGCCTGCCTCGGGCTAAAATACATACAAATGGGTAGCTCACTTTGTGCCGTTTCTTTTTTCTAAGCCTGTTGCCTCTTGGTCTGTCAGCTTTTGTTAATTCTCTAGTTTAGATGTTTTTTTTTTTTTTAAATTTTGTACAGAGTCTTTAGTTGTTACTTATGCACAGGCTGGATCTGATAGGAGCTTCCTCCATCCTTCCAGATAGGGACTTTATTATTTTCTTCATAATGGGGTAAACTGCAAACCTTAGAGAGCTATGGCATACTATGTAGATTTATACTTTATTATCTTGTAACTTTGTCGAATTGTAATATTACTACCTTGCTTTCTCTAAAACACTTTCAGCTGATTGGCCGGGGTAGATACGGAGCAGTATATAAAGGTTCCTTGGATGAGCGTCCAGTTGCTGTAAAAGTGTTTTCTTTTGCAAACCGTCAGAATTTTATCAATGAGAAAAACATTTACAGAGTGCCTTTGATGGAACATGACAATATAGCTCGCTTTATAGTTGGAGATGAGAGAGTCACTGCAGATGGACGCATGGAGTATTTACTTGTGATGGAGTATTATCCCAATGTAAGTCTTTTGTAAAATACAAACTGACATTTATATTAGCTCTTAATCAGACTTTCAGGAAGACCACATGGAGTATTTGCTTATGATGGAGATAAGTTCTTCATAAAATATAAACTAGATCAGGCATGGTGGCTCATGCCTGTATGTAATCCTAGCACTCTAGGAGGCCAAGGCATGTGAATTTCTTGAGCTCAGGAGTTTGAGACTAGCCTGAGCAATAAGGAGACCCCGTCTCTACTAAAAATAGAAAAACTGAGGCAAGAGGATCACTTGAGCCCAAGAACTTGAGGTTGCTGTGAGCTATGATGTCATGGCACTCTACTCAGGGCCCCAGAGTGTGACTCTGTCTTCCCCCTCTAACATTATATATGTTTATGTGTGTATACTGACATTTATATTATCTCTCAATCAACTTTTAGGAAGACCACTGGTATAGAGAGCATTGCTGATTATTAATGGTTATTAATGGTCTATAATGAAATAAGGATCTCACACCAGAATGTGAATCAACTCATTATTACACTGTTTATTCAGCTTTCTCCTTTGTTTCTCTTCCTCTGTCTTTCTCTCTCTCTCTCTCTTTCTCTTTTTCTTTTTTTGATAGTAAGACTTTCTCAATGAAATAAGCAATACTTTGACATTCATCCTGGTACAAGCTCCTTATCTCATAAGAGACTGGTAATAGTTTGTGGATAAGCCCTTTAAGTAGTACTAATACATACATGTTTACAAAGACCTTCTGTTTTCTACTTATAAAACAATAATATAGTTGGTGTTCCTACTGGTAAGATATTTTTTATCGTAATTTGATAGATCAAAGAATTTTTTAAAAGGAAATAACCACTCATAATTTTTAAGGCTAGAGACATAAGAATTGATAATGTTTAAATTCTCCTTTCCTTTCCATCCTCTCCTCTTCTGTCTATACTAGAAATGTCTTACTCTTTCGGGATTCTGAAATGTAGTAGTTCATTAGATCTTCATAGACTCCTAGCCTATGCAAATTCTTTGTAAGATTGCTAATTTACCTCTTCATGTTAAAATAAATTAATGGGGGGGTATTTTTTTCCTCTGTATAGGGATCTTTATGCAAGTATTTGAGTCTCCATACAAGTGATTGGGTAAGCTCTTGCCGCCTGGCTCATTCTGTGACTAGAGGACTGGCTTATCTTCATACTGAATTACCACGAGGAGGTAAGAGAGTAAATAGAAGATGAATGACATGTGGGGTTCAAACTTCTCACAAAGGAAAATTTTAATCATGTTCTCAAAGTATAATTACTATTATTAGAGATTTGTTATTAGCCAAATTTTTGAAAGATGTAAAGATGTAGCATGAAGTAATATATTTAAAATCTAACAGGAAGAATTAGAAACAGAACTTTAGGCTCGGCGCCTATAGCTCAACCGGCTAAGGCGCCAGCCACGTACACCTAAGGTGGCGGGTTCAAATACAGTCTGGGCCCGCCAAACAACAATGACGGCTACAACCAAAAAATAGCCAGGCGTTGTGGCGGGCGCCTGTGGTCCCAGCTACTTGGGAGGCGGAGGCAGGAGACTCGCTTGAGCCCAGGAATTGGAGGTTGCTGTGAGCTGTAATGCCACGGCACTCTGCCCAGGGGGACAGCTTGAGGCTCTGTCTCAAAAAAAAAAAAAAGAAACAGAACTTTAAGATTATAAATGGACTATAGATCTCATTAAGAATTTGATAATTGGGCTTGGTGCCTGTAGCACAGTGGCTACAGCTCTGGCCACATACACTGAAGCTGGTAGGTTCAAACCTGGCCCATGCCGGCTAAAGGACAGTGACAACTGCAACAAAAAAATAGCCCGGCATTGTGGCAAGCACTTGTAGTCCCAGCTACTTGGGAGGCTGAGGCAAGAAAATCTCTTAAGCCCAAGAGTTTGAGGTTGCTGTGAGCTGTGATACCATAGCTCTCTACTGGGTATGACATAGTGAGACTCTTTCCAAAAAAAAAAAATGTGGCACTCTTATCTCAGTGGTAGGGCTCCAGCCACATACGCCAAGGCTAGTGGGTCTAGCCCAGCCCTGGCCACCTAAACAACAATAACAACTACAAAAAAAAAAAAAAAAAATAGCCAGGCGTTGTGGCAGGCACCTGTAATCCCAGCTACTTGGGAGGCTGAGACAAGAGAATCACTTAAGCCCAAAAGTTGGAGGTTGCTGTGAGCTGTGACACCATGGCATACTACTGAGGACAACAAAGTGAGACTCTGTCTCAAAAAGAAAAAAAATTTTTTTTGATAATTGGCTGGGTAGAGTGGCTTGTGCCTATAATCTAGCAATTGGGAGGCTGGGCAGGAGGATTATTTGAAGTCAGGAGTTCAAGACCAGCCTGAGCAAAAATGAGACCTCCATCTCTACTAACAATAAGAATAATTAACTGGGCATGGTGACATGCACCTGTAGTTCCAGATAATTGGGGAACTGAGGAAGAAGGATCACATGAACCTAGTTTAAGAGTTTGATGTTGCAGTGAGCTAAATTGTGCCACTGTACTCTGACCAGGGGTGACAGACTCTGTCTTGGGGGCGGGGGGGAATCTGATTCTTGTCCATGAAGAATTTTTGTATACATACTGAACATTCTTCCTCTAAACATACACACATACTTAGAAAATGTACTTGTGATTCTAGGAATTCTCAGACCTTTAAAGCACATTTGTGAACCTTAGGTTAAGAATCTTTTAGCTAGGCTATATGTTCCTTGTACTTACTTTGTTAATTTAAATGAACTATAATACATTATTAGTACTTTAGTTTTAATATCATATGGATCTTTATTACATGGGTTGAGATAAAAACCAAAGGTATGTTTTTGTAAATTAATGTTTCTATTAGAATTAGGTTTGGCAGAATCTGTCAGAGCAGAAGGGGTGTGAGAATGGAATAGCAGTTGCTTTAATAAGAAATGTTTTTCTTTCTCATATAAGGATCAAGGGCAGAACAGTCTATGATCGGTTTAGCAGCACCATCAGGCCCTCAGGCTCCTATTTTTCTTCTTCACCATCCTTCATATGGCTCTCATTTCAAAGTCACCTCATTATCTGTCATGCTGTATTCTAGTCAGCAGGAGAAAGAAAGGGGAAGTAAAAGGAATTGCCCCTTTTCCCTCTGCTATTCCACTCATATACTTATGTTTTGTTTCCCAAAAGTTAGTCCATATTTAACTGCAAAAGAGGCTATGAGTATAGTTTGTTGGTTTGTTTGTTTTGGCTAATTAGATTGCTGCCTCAAATAATATTGAGTTCTATTACTAAGAAGGAAGGAGAGAACGCATGGTGGGGAGTCAGTCTTTGCCAGTGTTTTAGAACTCTGTGATTATATTCCTTCTAACTACAGTTTTTCTCATCTTTCATGTACATTTTTTACTAGTTTAAAGCATCTGTTTAATACATTTGCTTTCTCATTTTGTTTCAAAATACACCTCATCTCATAGGCACCACCAAATTAGCTTTGCTGTGATAATTCTGTCTCCATGCTTTCTTAAATTGTTGTCCTTTACTGCATTTTGTTGTCATATTATGGCTCTGACATTATTTTTCAAGCTCTCTGACCTCTTTAGCAGAGAGATCCGTTACTTAGTCTTTGTTCCATTGTATAATAGTATGGGTCATCTTTCCTAGCTGATGCTTCAAATATATATAAATAGATATAGATATATAGACATAAATATATACATATATATCATTTCTCCTGAATAATTTATCAGTTCATTTATCTTGACATCTTGCTTTTCTTGAATACAGAATTGAGTACAGTTATTATTTAAGTCAGCAACTTTATGTACTTTCTTTAGTGCTTTAGCACATTAACCATTGGACTGTGTCCCCTTACTCTTAAATATTATACCTCCTTTAAAAAGCTGGCTTAGTATAGAATTCAAAATAACATCCTAATTCTCCTTTTCCGGGGTTTACATGATTTAGCAAGAGTTGAGTCAAATACTGGCTAAAAAGAATGCTTGCCATCAAATATGAGTTTTATTTCAACAGGACTGTTAACTCTTAAATATTAGCTAATGTTATCACTAAGTAGTTACCTTTTAAAAAATGAATATATGAATAATGTTGCATATTGAGTTTGTAGCTTTGCCTAATTATTTAAAAAATTCCTAAGTTTAGATGCTCCTTGATGTATAATGGGTTGTGTCCTGATAATCATAAGTTGAAAACATTTAAATTCACATGTATGTATAAATATCTACAAAGAGACAATTTTTGCTTAGATTTTCATTATAAAAAATATTACCTTGTGCTTTAAGATATTTGCCTAGTGCAGTGCTCTACCTGGGGCAAAATCATTGTATGTTCTACACACACCCTCATTTGACACCCAAATAAAAAAATAAATACTGAAAGGAACTTAAAAGGGAAAACTTGTCTCAAAAGGGCAGTCTGTCGTCTTAACCTTTGTATAGGTTATGAATTCTATCTCATCTCCTCTGTTTTTCTCCCTCATTCTCTTCTTGCCTTCCCTCCCTTCTTCTTTTACTCCTGTGAAATTTTTTTTTCTCTTTCTTTTTTAGTAATAGCAAGAAATATACTACTTTATACTAGCTACCTTCTGACTGCCTCACTGAGTCATTGCACATTCTCCCCATCATTAGTCTGGTTATCCCTAAAGTATGAGATCTTTCAACTTAAATACTGATTTGCTATTAGTACACAAACGTATTCCAATGTCTCCATAAATTTTCTTATAAATATCAGCACAAGATTATACCATATACACTTATGTTTTATCCAATGTGGTTTTATCCAAAGAGAAGGAGCTCTCACAGAATTGAATAATACCCAAGTTAATACAAGCTTTGGAAGACTGGGACGGAGGTGGATAAGGAAGATGAAAAATTGATCTTCATTAATTGTTACTTAGATGAATAAACTTGGTAGTGCCTATCTTTCTTCAAATTGTGCTGTGGCAGGCATAATGTGAGGGTTATGGCTCACCTCCAGGGTGAGGGGTACAACTACAACCTGAACTTTACCTAACAGATACAAACAAAGTAACCTAAACTTCTGTATCCTCATGTTAATCTGAAATCTTAAAAAAATTTTAAAAAGGAAAAAAAAATTTAATGTGCTATTGCTTTTTTTTTTTTTTTGAGACAGAGTCTTAAGCTATTGCCCTCGGTAGAGTGCTCCTGCGTCACAGCTCACAGCAACGTCCAACTCTTGGGCTTAAGCGATTCTCTAGCCTCAGCTTCCCAAGTAGCTGGGACTACATGTGCCTACCACAACACCAGCTAATTTTTGTTGCAGTTGTCATTGTTGTTTTAGCTAGCCCGGGCCGGATTCGCCAGCCTGAGTGTATGTGGCCAGTGCCCTAACCACTGAGCACAGGTGCCACGCTGTTGCTTAATTTTTTATGTATCAAAGGACTCATTCTCTGTCTATAGTTTCATTATTGGTAAAATTAAATTTGAATGCTCATTAATGAGAGTAAGATATTTCTAAACATTGAGTCTATTTGTGCCCCAAAATAAATACTCAGGAAACCTTGATTGCTTCATTTCTTTGTTTACCTAGGGTGATATTTTATTTATTTATTTTTTTTGTTTTGTTTTGTTTTGTTTTGGCCAGGGCTGGGTTTGAACCCACCACCTCTGGTATATGGGGCTGGCGCCCTACTCCTTGAGCCACAGGTGCTGCCCTGGAGATATTTTAAATTCTAGAAATTGTACTATAGGATTTTTTTTTTATTTTCAGAGCTCTGATTTTATGAAATGTAAGTTTACATAAGCTTTCCTTATAGAGAGGGGAAAAAAATACTGTAGTGTTTTTGGTGAGGAGCTTTTGTTAGATTTATTCTTTCCATCAGCAAATGTATATGTGCTCTATGCCAAGTCTTTTAAATTCACATGAGACATGTTCTCTTTCTGCCTTCATAGGGCCTAGTGGTAAGGCGAAACAAGTAATAGAATGAGTATAACACTACTTTGCTTCTTTAAAATCAGAAAACAAATTTTCATATCTTGCTGGGAGATACTAGCTCTTCCACTTGTACTTCCAATTCATTGTAAAACTATTTTTAGTTACATTTAAAAAAACAGAAGTGGGCTTAGAGACATGGCTAAACCTTAGGACAGAACTGGAATGTATTGCCATAGGTTTGGATCTGTTAAGCCATAGGAGAATAATATAAAATTTATATTAAAATTTTGGAGCCACATTCATTTTTCATTGATACTTGTGTTAGACAAGCTTACTGTTTTTGGATGTGTATGCCAAATATTCTTTTTTGGATTGCCTCCTTTTGCTGCCTTAAAAATAAAGAGTCAAAACAAGTACATGTTAGAATCATTAGTAGAAGAAGAAGTATGTTCGCTTTTGCTGCCTTAAAAATAAAGAGACAGGCTCGGCGCCTATAGCTCAACCGGCTAAGGCGCCAGCCACGTACACCCAAGGTGGCAGGTTCGAATCCCCAGCCCGGACCGCCAAACAACAATGACGGCTGCAACCAAAAAATAGCCGGGCGTTGTGGCGGGCGCCTGTGGTCCCAGCTACTTGGGAGGCGAAGGCAAGAGACTCGCTTGAGCCCAGGAGTTGGAGGTTGCTGTGAGCTGTAATGCCATGGCACTCTACCCAGGGGGACAGCTTGAGGCTCTGTCTCAAAAAAAAAAAATAAAATAAAATAAAGAGACAAAACAAGTATATGTTAGAATCATTAGTAGAAGAAGTATGTTAGCTGTTACTTTCAGCTTAATTTTTAATGCATAATTAACTATACATGCAACAGGAGTTATGTTCTAAACTGTGTTACAGAATAGTGATGACTATGAGTTGAAATTTTGATTTCTTGTGTCCTTTTTGTTATTAGAAAATTTGTGGGCAGAAAAATAATACTATCTTTATATTGATGTAGTTAGTATTGTTACATGCTCGTTTTATGTCCAGTAATACTGTTTAAGCTTTAATAAATATTTGAAATTATCCAAACAGATCATTATAAACCTGCAATTTCCCACCGAGATTTAAATAGCAGAAATGTTCTGGTGAAAAATGATGGAACCTGTGTTATTAGTGACTTTGGGTTGTCCATGAGGCTGACTGGAAATAGACTGGTGCGCCCAGGAGAAGAAGATAATGCAGCTATAAGTGAGGTGAGTGTATACAAAAGATATCCAACTTAACTACCTTCAACCTATAATAAATCGCATTAACAAATCTACTGCACAGGATAGTCATCCTCATATGCTACCAATTACAAAATATTGTGAATTACAAAATTAAGAAATACAAAAGACATTTCTTAAAGGCCTTTGTACAGTTCATCAGTTCATTTTGGAAATCACTGCCATTCCAAATCTTTTTGACAAGCATTAGGAAGAAATGTGTAGAAACTGTTTTTTTGTTATTTTGTTTGTTTATTTTATTTTATTTATGTTTGAGACAGAGTTTTACTATGCCTTTAGTAAAGTGTCATGGTGTCAGAGCACCTCAAACTCTTGGGCTTATGTGATTCCCTTGCCTCAGCCTCCCAAGTAGCTGGGACTACAGGTGCTCACCACAATGCCAGGCTATTTTTTTGTTGTTCTAGTTGTCATTGATGTTTGGCAGGCCTAGCCAGATTCTTACCCACCAGCCCCAGTGTATGTCGCTGGTGCCCTAACCACTGAGTATAGCCTCAGTGGTTTGTTTACTGAGCCTGTTTGTTTACTTTTAGAGACAAGGTCTTAGTCGTTGCCCAGGCTGGAATGCAGTGGCCCTATCATAGGGCATGATACTCTAGAACTCCTGGGCTCAAGCAGTCCACCCACCCCAGTTTATTGAGTAGCTGGGATTATAGGCAAGTGCCACTATGGCTTGCTAATTTTGAAAGTTTTTTGTAGAGAAAGGGTCTCACTGTCTTGCCTAGGCTGATCTCTCTTGGCTTTGAGCAGTCCTCCCACTTTGGGCTCCCAAAGTTCTGGGGAAATAAGGATGAACCAGTGCACCCAGCCAAGAACCAATTTTTGAAGCAAGAGTAAAGTTACTGAGTTTGAAGCTGGGCACAATGGCTCATGCCTATAATCCTAGCACTTTGGGAAGCCAAAGTAGGAGGATAACTTGAGGCCAGGAGTTCGAGACCAGCCTGAGCAATGTAGTGAGATGCCATCTCTACAAAAAATAGAAACATTAGTTGGGTGGCATGGGCCTATAGTCTCAATTACTCAGGAGGCTGAGGGGGGAAGATCACTTGAGCCCAGCCAGGTGTTTGAGGTTACATGAACTATAATAATTCTATTGCACTCTTTCCCAGGCAACAGAGTAAGATCCTTTCTACAAAAAGAAAAAAAAAGTTACCAAGTTTAAGATAGAAAATATACTAAGTTTGATATATATATGTACATACACACACACACACACACACACACACACACATGCACACACACACACAGTAGAACTTCTAGTTGATCACCTTCTACATTGATCACCCCCTTAAGTTGACTTCATTTTCATAGATTGGACATGCCCCACATACATCTGTCAGTACAGTAGGCCTAGTTCCTTATATTAACCAGTTTGTTGTAGTGTATTGGGAGGGCAAATTACAGAGATTCTACTATGTCTCTGTATGGATGTATGTGTTTTTTGTAATTTTCTCACTGTGTCTTCTAAGTGTTTTATGTTGATAAACATATGAAGGTCTAGGTCATTCTTTTTGATTGATAAAGAAGATTCACTAATAGTTTGGCACCCATAGCACAGTGTTTATGGCACCAACCACCTGCTCCAAGGCTGGAAAGTTCAAACCTGGCCCAGGCCAGCTGAACAATAATGACAACTGCAACAAAAAAATAGCCAGGCATTGTGGCAGGTACCTGTAGTCCCAGCTA